TACTACAAGGAGTGGTTGGAGAAGGAGGTTTTGTTATCACAGGTCATCCAAAGTGAAGTGGATTGGCACGACCGTCGCAAGGCTATTCTTGAGGGCACTGCCGATATTCAGATCCCCGGGGCAGTTGACTCCAGGGACGGCGGACAAACCAAGCGTGTCGACACCACGGCTAAGAAGGCGCAGGCTGCTGAAGCATAGGAGCGTAGAGCAAGGCGAGCGTCATGCCCGCTGTTGTAGTCTGCCTTCTCTGGAAGGCGAAGGAAGAAAAAGAGAGAAACAGAGAAGAAAAGAGGAGCAGCACTGGCTTCAATAGATGGACCACGGATGCGCTGGAGGACACGAGCAAGATACGGATGACGGCATACATCCATGTGAAATAAGGTCGGGAGTCAGAGGCGTTAGGGTCTGCTTGTACTGATTTAGCCATTGAGACAAAATATGAGTGGTTCTTCTGGATCGAGCGTGTAGTAGACGTGCAATGTTGTAGATTCACTTACCTGCGGGTGCCAAAAAAGGTGGTAACCTAAATCGTACCTCAGTACCTACTGTACCTAGGTACTAACGAAGTAGATGTTTCAAACCGCGAATTAAGCAGCAGCAATCAAGAATCTTGGCAGTATAATCCACGATTGAAAAATACACTTCTATAAATCAATTTGCGTAATTTATTATTATTGTTTGTTCAGTCTACTCCGACCTCACACCAATACAATCCATCCCTTCGCCACCACCAAACCCAAGACTCGCCCCGCCGATGTCGCATTCTCTCATCCACCCATCATCAAGTAAAGGTGGGTTCCTCTCCGTCCATCTACTCCACTACAAAGTACCCATCATCCGAGCATGTACTTTCAATTCCATTTCTAATCCTCGGCCTCTGGATGCGCCAACTTTTCCCAAACCACAGTATACTTATTTATCATTTATAACCGTCCATGTCGTGTCATTTACTCGACCTCCACCGTTGATATTCCAATACTATATCAAAAGAAATCAATCAACATCGACACCAAAAACCCCCTTCTTCTACTCATTGTCGCCACTCCCCATCCCCCCCCCCCCTGTCAATAAGATCAACCAGAAGACAACTCAGGCATCGCCATGAGTGCGATCCTCTCCGTCGACGATCTCAACGACTTTATTTCCCCCAGCGTAGCGTGCATCAAGCCCATCGAGACGCTCCCCGCCGGCAACACGAATGCGCAACACACCAACGACTCAGAAGTCATCATCGACGGAACACAACCCGCCGCAGCGCCCACCGGCGCAGAGGCTGCTCAGATCTCGCTGACGGACTGTCTAGCCTGCTCCGGGTGTGTCACCTCTGCGGAGGCGGTGCTCGTGAGTTTGCAAAGCCATGCCGAGGTACTGGCCACGCTGGACGGCGCGCCTGCGCTGAGGGTGCGAGCACTGGAGGAGGGGCAGAAGGAGGAGGGTGCTGGGAGCTGGAGGGTGGAAGGGCTGGAGGACGAGCAGGCGAGGTTGTTTGTGGCGAGTGTGTCGCCGCAGACGAGAGCTAATTTGGCGGCTGCCTGTGGTGGACGCGTCTCCCAGCGACAGGCTGGGCTGATGATTGAGAGTTTGTTGCGAGGGGACAAGGGCTTAGCTGCTGGAGGCAGGTACAAGAATGGATTCACATGGGTTCTCGATACGAATGTTGCGAGAGAGGCAGCTCTGGTGCTGGGTGCGGATGAGGTGCTCAGCGCGGGAGCTGGAACGGCGGGTGAAGCTGCGCTGCAGCCAGTGTTGTCGTCGGCGTGTCCAGGATGGGTCTGCTATGCCGAGAAAACGCATCCTCATGTGTTGCCACATTTATCCAAGGTCAAGTCGCCACAAGCTTTGATGGGTACAATGTTGAAAACCACGCTGAGTCGGAAACTGGGCATTCCTCCTCACAGGATATGGCACCTCGCCGTCATGCCGTGCTTCGATAAGAAGCTGGAGGCCAGTCGTGAGGAACTTACGGATGAAGTCTGGGCTGGCTCCGGAATACCTGGCCGGGGGGTTCGCGACGTGGACTGTGTAATCACAAGCAAGGAGGTGTTGATGCTGGCTGAATCAAGAGGACTAAATTTTTTCGACTTTCCTTGCGATGCTACGGCGGCCTCTTCACTGGCGCCAATGCAGCCCTTTCCGTGTAAGACTCTACATAATTTCTTCTTTCCATCGCGGGTGCTCAAACAAGCACCGCCTGCCGCGGGTTCCTCGGGAGGACTACTCTATCACATCCTGCAGTGCAAAGCTGCTCAGATACCTGGTGCCGAAATCCAAATCACCCGTGGTCGCAACTCAGACGTCGTCGAGTTCGTCGTGTCGGCTAATGGTTCGCCTGTGTTCAAGGCAGCCCGGTACTATGGCTTCAGAAACATCCAAAACCTGGTGCGCAGGTTGAAACCTGCTCGACCGTCCCGAATGCCTGGCGGGAAACCGTTCGGCAGCGCTCGGCGACCAACGGGTAAGCCAGCCGCCTTAGAGTACAGCTATGTCGAAGTAATGGCTTGTCCGGGCGGGTGCACCAATGGTGGTGGCCAGGTCAAGGTCGACGATCCAGTGATATTGGACCGGAAGAAGATACAGGGCAAACCTGGTCCTCAGGAACAAAAAGAGTGGCTGGCCGAGATTGACGAGGCATATTTCTCATGTGAAGATCCAGACGATATAAGCCAGAATGGCAATGTCTGCGGTCCTGAAATCCAAAACGGCGGTGTGATCGGCGGCATCTCCCGCTCGTATATACATGATACCCTGGCGTATTGGTGTGAGGTCACGGGCATAAGCATTGATAGACTTGCATTCACGACGTATCGCGAGGTCATAAGCGATGTCGGAAAAGGAACCGAAGCCGAAAAGGTGGTTCAGCTAGCTGGAAAGGCAGGAGGTGGCTGGTAGCACAGCCCGGCGCATCTTCTGCTGAAAAAGTTGAAAATAAGAGCCTGACATCTCAATTTCTCCATGGTCAAATAGAGGAGCGTGATGTGGGCATGTGTTGTTACCATTTCCTGATTTGAGAAGCTTAACGGAGCAACAGATAGATACATCAGCTGTCTTTGTTGCCACGACGTGCGAATCCGAAGCCGCCGCGTCCGCTGCCGTCGGGCCCTCTTGGTGACCGTATAGCTTGTTGCTGTTGCTGCTGCTGCTGCTGCTGCTGCTGCTGAGGTGGTAGCGAGGTTGACTGGTATTGCGACTGGTGTTGATAGTGATCATTGCCGGTGGGAGTCCATCGAGCGGATCCGTCCGCTTCTCCGACTCTGCGCTGCTGAGCTACTAGGTCGGGCTTTGGCGAGAAGTTGGGGTCATAAAGCTCTCTGCCAGTTGAAGGCTGATTGTTTGTTCGCCTCATGTCTGAAGGACCTCTTCCATCATGGTTGTTCGTATTGCTTCCCCGTCCGCCTCCCCTGCCACGGCCTCTACCTGACTGCCGACCTTCCGATCTCGGCGGCGTGACAGTTCCTGGAGATGAGCCTCGAGACGAGGGATTTGATTCTCCAAAGATCTTTGCTCGGGCTTCATCATACCGACGTTGTCTCTCTTCCAGGTCTCGTTTCTGTTTTGCTCGGATCTCCTCTGCTGTGGGTTGTCTTTCCTTCTTATCTTCTGCATCATCGTCATACTCTCCAGACAGCTGGGCCGTGCTGCCATTTGCAGGATCGCGTTTCGCAATGACTGGTTTACGGGAGAGGACCTTGACTTGAGGTTTGAAAGGAGAGGTCAGCGGCACAGAGTTGCTGGCTTCCAGGTAATGGAAGGTCTGCGGCGCTGCGTCCCTACACGCATTTGTCGCAGTGTTGCCGTCACGTCAGCAAAGAAAGAGACGGACAGACAATGAGAGAGAGAGAAAGAGAGGTTGAGAATAAAACAGAGTATCTTCTTACGCAGACTCCCACATCTTCCGATTTGCCTCGCTGTGCTTCATGATGCGCTCTGCCTTGGTCAGCGACGGTTCGGGCTGTAATGGTGCTCCCACGCCGTGTTCAGTCTGATCATCCTCCTCTTTCGCTGCTCTGTCAGCTTGCGACTCCCAATCGTCGTCCCAGGCATCTGGAACTGCTGATTTCTTCATCTTAAAATGTATCGACGTGTCAATATATTGAGCGCATTGACAGAAATGTGCAAGAAGGAGTTGAAGGTACTATTTCTCAGCCGCCTCGTCTCAGGGCATATAGAATGAATCGTGGCAGCAATCAGTAATTCCTGTCAAAAAGGTCCTCAAACGAGACCGCACATGTGGAATTGATGCAGTGAACGAGGTGCTGAAAATGTTATGTCAGGACTGGGCAAGGGAAGATGCATGTAGAGCGAGACATCGGGAGTAGGGATCAAGTCAGGTCTGGTCTGCGACTAGCCGCGAGGCCGCTCCATTTTACCAGGGCTTAAGCGGCGCAGGAAGGTCCAGCCGGCTCAACATCGGGGGAGCCAATGGATTGTCTGATGGATGGATATGATCAATTGTGTCGGGAGTCGTGATCCTTCGTCATGCACTCCGGGGTAGCTTGTTGAGTTACAGAGGGTAAGTGTGTTCATCAAAGAATCCCGATTAAAGACGCGGGTTTGATGAACGTGCCGTGCTCTTCTTCTCTGCTCAAGAAAACGGCCCCCTTCTTTCCGCGGCCATGCCTTCATAAGTTGCCATCGAAAGCCTTCTTCGCCTCTTTTCAAATCACTTGAACTCGGATCCGGCTGGTTCAATGTCATTGCAACTGTGGATATGCTTCGACGCATCTCGGACGCATACCTAGATCAACACTGTTGCGAAACAGTATCAGAAGGAGTCTGCAAAATTCGCACGCATCACATCTGCATCGAATTGGAATGATTTTAGTCCTTTACGGACTTGCGACATCACTAATGACTCTTGCTCGCAATGATGATATAGTAAGTATAATCTTATGCTTTGCAGATGCCATGAGCATCATTGCGCATATCGGGTCGGAGGTGAGCGACTGATTCATCCAAGTCTTCATATTCAAAAATTAGAAATCGATCAAACATCACAAATAGGCCGTGTGGCTCAATGGCAGAGCGTCTGACTACGATTAGCTCCTCACATGTGAAGGACATTAGTAACGTGATCAGAAGGTCGCAGGTTCGACCCCTGTCTCGGTCAGTGACATTTATTTTTGACTGGCTCCCCACTATTTTCCTTTTTTTTTTTTAGTTATACAACAATCTGTCCTTGCTCTTTTTATAGGACAGTTTATTTTATTTTACTTTTGTATAAAAAAAGTTGTTACTAAACCCTTAAATGAAATAAAGAATTCCTACTCTGTAGGTAAAAAAAGATTGGCTACAAAGTAGCCTGGATTAAAAATAATTGTGAATGACCGAGACAGGGGTCGAACCTGCGACCTTCTGATTAGATATCACTCATCGTAGTCAGACGCTCTGCCATTGAGCCACACGGCCTGTGATCACGTGAAAGGATTGTCTTAGTCAAGACTAAGACCTAAGTTGGTCGTCTTGAAGCAGTTGAGCCAGCCACTCTCACGCCACCCAGTGGACAATGTCGATTGTTGCCCTTTGTGACCTTCGCAATAAAACGAACCAAAAAGTGCCTGCTCCCGACAGTTTATGTTGGTGAAACATTCTTCGTCTGCATAACAAATTTTTTTGAGCTGTGATGGAGTGGCGAATTTGTTGTCAATGCAAAATGGATGATCCGGTGCCACCTATGACCTCTATATTCCTGGTTTTTCTTTTCTTTTTCTTTCTCTTTTCTTTTTCTTTTTCTTCGTTCTTCTTATTCTTCTTTTTGTACCACTTAGATACTACCCTTAATAAGCTGAGTGTGTGCTTGAATTGCCATTAATGCTCGCCATATGTACATACATACATATTTAGATGGTGGAGTATTTGGTCTGTGAAGCGGGTGAACTGTGACGGCGAAAGGCGGGGTAGATCTGAGTTGAGCGATGAAGCAAAATTCTGCAAAGACATCTTAACGAGTTTGGCGAAGCCAAAACAAGGAGAAGTGAGGGAATGAACTCTTCTACACACAGATATGTACATATGTACAAATGTCATATGTCATTGCATACTACATGTGTACATACATACACACATATGTCAGATGTCTTGGTATGTAAGACATGATTCACGCAAGTAGCACCAAAGCATGGCGAATAAAACATGCTATGCTGTATGCTGGAGAAGAATGCATCTGGTTTTAAACCCGGATCGAGAGTCGATTTGGAATGAGCCTAGGAAACTTTTTAGCTCTCTCATGTTGGCGCCGTCTCAAAACCGTTGACACACGGCTTCTCACATGTATTCCTCCCAGCGTAATTGAGCTCATGCCGTATTTAACAACAACAAGCGTTGGATGACGTAATTGTCAGATGGAGCGACCAGGCAGTTCTCGTCGAGGTGAAGAGACCAAAAGCAAACGTCAAAGGAAGCTTGCAGCGTTCAACGTCTGTGGGACGTAATCCTAATTCCCAATATCCAACGACATTGCTTACACAGCCTGAGGTGCTACCATTCTGTGCATGCACAAAAGACGCAATGACGCTCAAGCGCGGGCGGGCGGAGGAATGAGGGATCCCAATGGACGGGTGGCCAAATCAAGATCCGTTGGTAGCAGCAGCATCAGTTTGACAGGCAATTGGCAAAGCCGGCATGCAGCACGTGCTCGGGAACAGTCAGCATGAGAGGTCAGAAGTGGATGATGCGGCGGTTGAGAGGCCAGTGGTCATCGCGCCTAATGGCGGATGACCCCTTCTCGGTACTCCGCGATACTGGACAGCCGCGCTGCTGATGTGTGTCAACTGGGCCAACTGCCAACTGGTGGGTGCTCAAGCTGGTTGCTCTTTGGCCCCTCCCTCACTTTGCGCACCCCCAAACCAGCACTCCCCCGGCGGCCAGGACAAATCTCGCCCCCCCTCTCTCTTCCTCCTCTCTCTAGATGCTTTATCTTTCCAAAGCACCCTACTTCTCCCGAACCTAAAACGCTTCTTTGTGCAAAACCAAAACGAAAGCCATCTAGACCGTCCCGTACTCTTCGAGCCTCGAGTTGACCTCATATCCTGCCGCCGCCCTGGATTCTGTGGCGCACGCGACGCCTCACAGATCAGATTCTTCGTCCTCTGTTCTTCCTCTCTTGCTCTGTCTCCTCCTCGCTTGCCAACTTCGATCACCCTAGCTTCGCAGTCGCGTCCACGCAGCTGCCCATCCACAACGATGTCGGGCACCGAGAGCGCCCACAGTCACGCATATTCGCACGCCCATGGAAGTGGTCACGCTGGGCATGGACATGGACATGGGCCTGGGCATGGGCATGGACCCGGCGTCTCTAGTAGCTTCGACCTGCTACGACGGGCCACTCAAGCTATGATGTCAAAGTATGTGCAGCATTTCCTTCAACCTGTGATTGTGCATTACCGGATGTACTTCCATGCTTCGTTTTCTTCTTCATGAAGCCACGATTACTGTCAGTCAGTCTTTACGTCAAGCCTTCCGCGCCTCCACCAGCGTGCCGTTGTTTCCGACGAGACATACATACATACTTGATTCATATATTCCCCGTCACCAAGTCAAGTCAACAAGTCAGCCAGGCTCACGAGTGCGCACCTGCTGGTCTGAGAGATGCGATGGATGGATGCTTGTGTGGGCATGGCATTGCAACTTTGTGTCATGCCAAATCCGCCATCGGCCTGGGGTTATGGGACTGAGCAATTGGCTCCCCATCAACAATGCAACCACTTGGCTTCTGGAACAAGTTGAGGTTGCTCAAGTGCTGGCTGGACAAGCTTTCCATGTCGCCTAGAGGCTCCATCCTTCCTTGCACGGCGCCGCGCCCATGCTGGGCCGTCCTTCAGTTCGCGACGGGTCAGTTCACAGTTCACAGTTCACCGAACATGTCGGAAATGTGACGCTCAAAAAAACGTCGACCGAGAGACATGGAATTTCTGGGGCGAAATGCTATCACAGCGAGATGCTTTTTTAGCAATGGTGGCACTCATTGATTTGAGCCAGACTTTGTCGCTCTGGTTTCATCATGCCATGTCAGCTGAAGTCAGCCGGACAACCTTGATTGGCCTTTCTTGGCCCTTCTTGGCTGTCTTGGGTCAATCAATGCCCATGTCTACAGAGAAAATATTAATGACATGAGCAATCATCGAGCGCATCTACGATGTTGACGGCGCCGCAGTCAGTCGTCCGTGGCGTCCGAGCTCGTCTCTTGCTCGAATGGCCGAAAATACCAACTCCATGACTTTCGACTTCCGAACCTTAGATGAGGATATTGAAAGTCAGAAGTCTTTTTTTTAGGCCTTGATCATCGTTGGTTGGCCCGCAGGAGACACGTTTGCTGTACTTTGTTCGGGGCCAATGAATGGCGCTGTCGCAGAGTCAACTGCAGGGCTTTTTTTTTTCTTTTTTTTTTCCCTGTCCATGGGCCAGCTCGCGCAAAGCGGTCAATGTGTACTGCGCCATGTCTTTTTCTCTCTTTGGTTGTATCTTCTTTTTTCTGTTTTCTTATCTCTCTTGCTTTTTCTTTCTTCTTCTTTTCTTTTTTTTCCCGGCCTCCGACGCCCAAGTGTGAGCGTCATGACAAAGTGCAGCGGTGTCAGTTCCGTGCGCTACCGCCACAAGTCGATGGTAGAAGGGACGCACTGGGCTGGGGCGATAGGGTTTGGCTGAGCTGCTACTGGCTGCTGACTCGTTACGTGACCTGGCTGCATGTGGACTCAAGTACTCCTTCGGTCCGCCGTGATTGTGCCTGAGTGGTCCACTCCGCCGCTGGTACTTGGGCAGCACACGCCCAAAAGTCTCCAGCTCCAGGCGTGCAGATGGCGTCAGTGGGCGCATGCAGCATTACTCACACAGGCGGCACGTCGTGCTCCGTCCACGGCTGGCTAAGCAATCTACGGCTTGCCTAAATAGTGCCGCCTTGGGTCACGTCTGGTCAGTTCATGACTAGGAAGTAGGACCCTAGCAGCTTGGTAGTCACTACCTTCCTGCTAGTGGCTAGGCATCAAGGCTCGAGGAGGCTCGGGGTAGTCGGCGCCACACGCTGTGCCCGAGCCACAACAAAGCTTAACCACGCCGTAACCCAAGCTTTACCATCTCTCCACTCTTGCACATGGTTGCGCCGGCGCAGGAAAAAAAAAAAAAAAAAAAAAAAAAAAAAGCTTCCTTCCACAGAATGTCAAAGGTACAGGTGTACATCCGCAGTCGGAATTCACGTCTAATTTTTCCGCTTTGCTTTACGCCTCGTGGATTTGATGTTGAACTTTAGACTTCAATACTCAATACTGTCTTGATCTTGAGGTGGAACAGAAAATTCCTCCTTCTATTTTTTTATTGTTTCTTTCTTTCTTTCTTTCTGTCTTTCTTCATTTCTTATCTATCTTGCTGCAATCGCCCCAGCAGTTTCAGGCTACATTGGCACACACCATTGAACCAAACCAACCTCCCCCCCCCCCCCCTTTTTTT